ATTTCCGCTCAACCTGATATTTATTACCTGCCGAACGGCATTCTTTCGTGACAAAAGATGCTGCGACTGGTTGACCCCTTACAAGGGAAACTAAGGCTTGCAAAAAAGTGGTCTCGCTGAAAGGCTAATTTGCATGATGTCAGTCTAGCGAACCTTTGTTAGGGCAATTTGCATTTTCAAAATGGATCAGGAAAGTAAACTCTGAAGGAGCTACTAAAATGTTTTTACAAAGCTTCTAACAAATCAACATGCAGTTGACGAAGCAAACGCGCCTCAAGCATTCACCAACTCTAAATCGTACCAGCTAGAAGCAGCAATACAATGATCTATTGCCTTGCCTCAATCTGTGGTAAATGAACTTTGGCTTTGTGATTATACTAGCCCAAGAAATGGTCACACCATCACCAAACTAAGGAACGTTTCAGAAACTGAGTCACCGTAGTGGCAAAGCTTCCTTCCAACACTCTCCCCCCCACGGCAGCAACTCACTCTGCTAAAGATTTCGGAGTTCTCACAACATAGGAAGCTTAACTTCCTATAACGACTGCCGTGTAGCAGAAAATTGACAGTTGTGGAAAAGGGCAAGATACCTGTCCATCACTCCGCCCGCGTCTCCGTTGCGACCTCTATTGGGAGCGAGTGAGTCGATCTCGTCGAAAAATACTACACATGGCGAAGCTTGTCGTGCTCTTTCAAAAACTAAAAACAATTGTTAAATATCGGTTCTGCTGGGGGTGGAGCTAAACATGGCACTTCTCGTGGCCAGTCGCACTTCGTCCATACTAATGGCGTCGTCGGCTCCAATTTTATAAGGGATAAAGGATAAAGCATTTGCCGTTGATCAATCCCTTTTTGGGATGCGGCACGCATTCTACTTCCATTTGTACATTCGTAGTGGCGTTTGAATGCGATGTGGCCTATACAATGACTTGCGGGGGCCAGCCGATGTACAAGTCAGTGTTTTTATCCTCCCAGACAAGTCTGGTACCAATTAACCGACCCCGGAGGGATGGAAGGCTTGGTTGGCCCGGGCGACTCACGACCCAGGATTTGATCCCCGGACCGCTCGCGTGGTAAGCGTGCCACTTGCCACTACACCACTTCCGCCCTCCAAATTTACACGGTAAATTAATATTAGCCAATTATCTCACGAAGTGACTAATAAATTTTTCTGCACGCGAAAATAACGATCTACCTTCTATTCAGGAAACGAGAAGAGCGTCGAGTGCAGACCACACACCACAAGTGACGACGGGTTAAAAAACGTGACTTTCTCTTTTTCTTGGCCGTCGTCACTTGTGGTGTGTGGTCTGCACTCGAAGCTCAGTTCCGAAAGAGGTTAGGTGCAACATTTGCTAGATTGACTGTGAGCATCACTTAAAGCCTGTAGTCGCTTTTTCATTCTATATGCAGGTGAAGCATGTCCATGAACTCACTCGGGAAATAAGGATGAACATTCCGTAAGCGCAAACGAGCAATTTTTGCCTCCATTTGCAATAGGTTCGCACTAAGGACAAGGGTAAGCCTCAATAAAGCAGAAGTTTGTGGTCTTCTGAGAGAAAGTGAGAAATTTCAAGGGATTTTTTTCTTAACAATTTGTCTGACGAGTGGATTCTAAAACTCTACAGCAGCGTTTGAAAATCACGAACTTTTGCTGTTTCCCAACGACTGTCGACGGAAATTTAGTTCAAAGCCAGTTCCGCTGTTTGCATGGTAAGATGGAGGGATTTGAGTAAAGCCTAAAAATGGGGGCAGGTCATGGTCTGCTCGGAAGACTCGGAGTTCGCATCGGTCAAGAGCTTCCTCGACAACTGGTACGTTGTGATTAGATGAGCTTCTGTTTTCGGCTGCAAATATAAGATGAAAGCGACGAAGAATGGCAGCCTGACCCGTATGAGAGCTAGCGTCTTCGTTCATGCACAGGATCCAAAATAACGCAGGGTAGCCGGCGATGCATTTTTTTCTAGGTGCGGCCGGTGGCACACTTCACACGGGACGTCCTTGAAAGAAAACTGACAAAAATAAGACTTCCCTTTACGCACGTTCTCTTCACTTTGGCCAACGTACATATTCAGGAGCTCAGGTCCTTTGACGCTCAAAAAGGCGATTTTGAATTCCGTTGCCACAGCTGAAATTGGCGAACACGTGTAATTGCTATATTCTCGGAATAACGAGAGAGCAGACCCTTGGCAATGAGCGTTTTTCCACATCCAGGCGGTCCGAACAACATAATGCCCGACCTCTGTAGTCGAGAGCCTTGAAGATTTGCCTCAATGCTCTCGATGATAAGCCTTTTTGTTTCCTCAAAGCCGCCAACGTCGTCCCACGATACTGAAGGAATCTGAATGCTTATCGATGTGTTGAATGAAGCACATCCAATGGTGATATAAAGGTCGGCAAGAGTGAGATAAGAGTAAGTATTCAGAAGAGAGAAATGAGAATACAAGACCGAAAAAGAAAACTGAAGCCAGCTAGCAGGAAATTATATGGCAAAGATGGAAAGAGCGGAGCAGTTTGTGTAAGCCTTACCGGATGCTGGAAGGGTCCCTTCGTGAGATCATGTTTCCATATTCAAAACACTTCTAAAAAAGTCTCATTCTTTAAAAAAGAGCAGAGGCCTCCACTACACCGAATTGAGTTGATTTCTGCCACAAAAGTAGGAGCATGTAT